CTGTGCTGGGTGTGAGATTCCTGCTGGATGCTGGGCCTCCCAGCCCTCCGCCTTGAATGCTTGTTCGTCACAGCAATCCCAAGGATTTTCTTCTTTGCTTTTCTGCATTCTGACTGTATCCTCTGGCTCTCATTGTGGTTGGGTTTACTGAGCTTTTTTGTATCGTGGATTAATGCTTTTCATCACACTTGGGAAACTTTACCCTTTAAAAACTATTGTGTAGCTAGAGTTTTCCTGCCTGGCCCACAGTCAGGACAATCTTTGTCACCTGCCAGTCCCACAGCCACCCAGACCCAACCAAGTAAACACAGAGACTTATTTTGCTTACAAACTGTATGGCTGTGGCAGGCTTCTTGCTAACTGTTCTTATATCTTAAATTAATCCATTTCCATAAATCTATACCCTGCCACACAGCTCGTGGCTTACCGGTACTTTACATCTTCCTTGTCCTGGCGGCGGCTCCAGGCAGTGACCTTCTGCCTTCCTGTTCTTTTATCTCTCCTCTCTGTTAGTCCCGCCTATACTTTCTGCCTATCCATGACCAATCAGTGTTTTATTTATTGACCAATCAGAGCAACTTGACATACAGACCATCCCACAGCACAGCCAAGTGCAGACCATCTCAGACACCTGCACTCAGGCCCGTGATCCTAATCATCCTCTATGCGGACCTGCTGGGTAAAGCCACAAGGAACCTAAGAACGGGCTCCCACAGGACATACAGAACATCCCACAGCAATATTGTCTTCTCCTTTTCTCTCCTCTCTCTTCAGGTCACCCCATTACACCGGGGTCACCAGTTGTGTCTTGACTGTGTCCCACATTTCTTTGGCTATGTGCAGTTCTTTGGATGTCACCTTATAAAATCTCTTTCATTTTACTCTCAGTTTCTGGTTCCTCTTCCAGCCTAAAGCTGCTGTGAGCTGACCCAGTGACATTCCAGCTTAGTCACTGTGATATTCAACACCAAGATTTCCACGTGGTCTTTAACAGTCCCTTTCTCTTATTGCTACTCTCTAGTTGACAAGATGCTATCAATAGCATCTTTAGTTCCTTAGGCACAGCCTGTTTGTTTCATTGAACGTGGTCTTCCATTTCCCCCAGTTCATCACCACCTACCTAGAAGTTGGCAGCTCTGCCTCTCTGCCTTCAAATATTCCCAGACTGATTTCCTTATGGATGCGAGTTCAGGGAACTAAATTCTTTGGATCCGTCATGGATCCAAAGGTCCATCTTCCAGAGACAGGAGCTTTGAGGTTGCTTCAGGGAATATAGTCTGTGACAGAAGAACGCTGTTTTAATACTGGCTGCTTAGCATGAGGACACTGTTGACAGTCCTTTGCTGTGGTGATCCGAGTCATCCGAGCCACAGCCTCAAGAGGAAGCTCTATTGGTACCTGCTCTGTGACAGGCCTGGAAGAACCTAGCAGATGAACATTTAAAAGAAAACCAAGCAGGTCGGAAAAGCTAGAACAACTGTATCCAGGGATGCATTTTTGTCCTTTCTGGACACAGCTGTGGCACCCAGGGAACGTCTTGGCTTAGGAAGCTCCTCAGCACTCTAAGTATTTCCTGTTTCCTACAGATTCCCCTTTGTGACACACTCAAGTGGTCCAGCCAAGTGTGGCCCGGTGACACTACAGTTATAGTACATGGACAGGAACAGCTGTGGAAACAGCTGTCCCCCATGCAAAATCCATGTCACTTTCAAGGCTGAAGCCTCCATCATCAGCGAAGGCTCATGTAAGACAATGGCCTCTACAATCCCTTCTCTCTCAGAGCTCCACCTGGGGCTGGACTGGCTGTTTGGAGCCTGGGGCCTATGCTGGGACACTTTTCTCAGCCTCCATGTAGGGAGGAGGGGACTGGACCTGCCTTGGCTGAGTCTACCAGGCTAAACTGACTCCCCAGGGGAGACCTTGCCTTGATGGAGGTGGTAATGGGGGGTGGATTGGTGGGGAGGGCCTCTCTGCTCCTGGTCTCCTTTGAGTCAGGGTGATCATGCAAGGGACCTGAATTTTTGTGAACCATGGGAAAGATGAAAGTATTAATCCCCTCATACAAGATCCTTAGTATACTGTGTTCATCGTCAGTATGAAACAAATCCTTGACTGAGTCTGTAATTCTCTGCCAAAGAACATTGAGTGGGTGGATCTGGCCCCAGGAAAAATGAAATAGTAGAAGTGTCTTCACAATTAACACTGTTTGCAGTGTTGGACCTGATAAGCACTTGCCAAAAGAGCAAAACCAGGTGTGGTGGTACACTCCCCATTCTCTGGGCTGAGGGAGAGAGGCCTTGAGCTTGCAACTGGTTGGAGATACACAGCAAGATCAAGGCTGCTGTAGCTCTTGTTATCCATCTCAAGTCCCTGTCCAGAAAGCAAGAGCAAAAGAGAATCAAAAGGCCAACTCAGTATGCCTTTTAAAGTTGTATTCTTTTGTTCTCTGGACCCACATCCATAAGAAAATCAGTCTGGAAATATTTGAAGGCAGAGAGGCAGAGCTGCCAACTTTAAAACATAAATAACTTTGCATGCCTTTTCCCTTCAAATACATTTACTAGATTGTGTCTCAGGGATATTAATATTGTAATTTTAAAACATTTATTTCTGTTTACACATATGAAACTCAACTTGTCATGCATTTTATAACTTAAATTTTTCCCACATAAGAAGATCAACATATTTAACATCTACCTTATTTCATTACTATGCCTCATGAAAAATGTTCTTTCATTTGGGGACTATTTTGAACTTCAAACACACTTTACATATATAATGAAGTTCCTTATTCATTTTCTAAATAATGCCTTAACTGTGTCTCAGTTAACATACCTAGCTGATTTCAGATTTCATTCAATTGCCATCTTACTTTAAACAAAAACTGGAAATCAAGTGAAAATGAATCGTCTCACTTAGGTAAGTGAACACTAAAACACAGCAATTTGCAAAGACTTCTCTCATTCATGGAAGCAGGGCCGAGTAACGGGGTAACGCCTGTGGGGCGATGCTGGCTATCTTGTCTAACAGGTGGTTCAAATCCAAGTCCCTTCTACCTGTGGTGCTCACCCTGCCTTCCCGAGAGCCGGGGTTGAAGCCTGCTGTGCTTCTGGTTTTATTCTGCGTGTCTGAGCAGAAAGTGTACACCTCCCACGGATGGAGAAGGCTAAACCTAGCTCGTCCTTCTGTCCCAGCTGTCCTCTCTCTCCTGATTGAAACAAACTAAATTGAAAGAGAGAGGGGGAACTGGCTGGCGGCGGTGGTGGTGGTGGCGGCGGCGGCACCACACACCTTTAATGCCAGCACTCGGGAGGCAGAGGCAGGCAGATCTCTGTGAGTTCGAGACCAGCGAGATCCAGGACAGGCACCAAAACTACACAGAGAAACCCTGTCTCAAAAAACCAAAGAGAGAGGGGAGCGGATTTCTAAGAAGGGATGAGCTTCTACTTTAGAAAACTGGTTTATTTTGTACATCTCTTGGTATTAGCCATTGAAACAGCTTGGGAAAGTGTCATTCACACAATGTAGTGTCTTCATGACCCTCAGAGAAAGCCCAGTTCCACTGCACCGAGGGGCCTGGAGGTAGCCCATAGCTTTGCAGAGCCTTTCTCCAGCATCCACCGACACACGGGCACTGTCCTGGTTTGATTCTCAGCCCTTGGGAGTTCTGCAGCCTCGCCAACAGCACCTCATCCAAGGAAGCCTCTCTCTTCCTCCTCAGGGCAGTTTCTGTCTCCACATTTGCACAGATGGACAGGGCGGATGACGTGGTCTTAGTAAACCGAGCTTCATGGATGCGGGGCAGCAGGATATGCTTGGAACTGAGCTAGGCTTCTCCATCAGTGTGCGTGCTCAGCACCAGCCTCTGTGCCTGCTCCTCACGCCTCACCCTCTACCCCTTCTGAGCCATTGCTCCTGTCCCCAAGTCCTCTCCTCCCTTCTGTCCTTCTATATCAGGGCCACCTTCAGTTTAGAGTCCCGCTTTCTTTCCGTACCCCATCTCACCTCACTACCTGGACTGTGCGACATCTGTCCCTGCATGAACCTGAAAACCAGTGGTCTCTGAGGCTCTGCCTCCACCCCTCCCTCTCCCACTTCTTTCTCTTGAAAGAGGGTGTCTTATCCAGTGACCCCCTCATGACGTCCCCGCAACAGCATCCTCATTTCTTTCCTTGTGAGGCCACCCCCTGAATCAGTCGCCTTCCCTCTGCTTTGTGTTGGCATGCCCTGCCTCATGTTTCCTCTCCCACATTCTGCCTCGTCCAAGTGATACCCAACTTTCACAGTCGCATCCCTGGAATGCACTCAGAACTAATCTTGACTGCCTCCCAGTGACCTTGGGCCTGCTCTGAGCACAGCTTCAAGGACATCAGGCTTAGTGTCTTTGCTCCTGTCTCTGTTGCGAACATCTCTCATCTTGCCCATCCTGATGGACACTGGCCTTCCTCGGGGCTATGCACTTATTCCTCGAAGAAAGAATCAGCATGACTGCATTAAAGAAGGAAAAATAAGCCGGGCATTGGTGGCGCACGCCTTTAATCCCAGCACTCGGGAGGCAGAGCCAGGCGGATCTCTGTGAGTTCGAGGCCAGCCTGGGCTACCAAGTGAGCTCCAGG